CCTCCCCCCTCCAAAAAAATATCAGCAATTGAAACGTCAATGTTTCACAGTTTTAGCACAGTCTCGTGTCAAGTATACAAAAATCTAATTTGGTAGCAATCCGAAAAAAAATTGCCAGGATCAGTTTATCTTTGGACCAGCCCTGAATGAACTTTAACCCTTTCATTGCACCCTCTAACCTGATAACATGTCACTGTAGTAACCGTTGTCCCTGAAAGGCTTAAATTTTCGCAAAATGGCGGAAATGTCTTTTTTTTTTTTTTTTGGTTTTTTCAGGCATAGCATCTTGAGACTTTTATTTTATTTTATTTTATTTTATTTTTATTTATTTATTTTTATGCGTCTACTCATGAAAGACTCTGGAAATGGATGAACCGGCCGGCACGACAATGTCAGCTCCGACCCAAAATGGCAGGCTTCCTTTTCGGCATAGCTTTTTGAGATTTTTTTTTGTGTGCGTCAACTCATGAGAGACATGTCTACAAAATTGGATTTTGCTCTCCATGAACCTGCCTCGAGGGGCTAAATTTTCCAAGAAATGTTGGTGGCCGCAACTGAGCACCGCCAAATTACTAGTTTTATTCTTTATGACGAGTCATCGAAAATTGCCGCTTTGCTTCACCCACACACGAAATTAAATTCTTGGAAATTTAGGAGCATCCCTTTGTCAAGAACAAATATTTTGCCACCGTTGCCATTTGTGTGTGCGTGCAAGTACGTCTGCCAGCTGCGTTTTGCCCTAGCGGGTCTTGGATGTCCTGTAACAGCGGACCTCACATCCTGAGGTCCAAGTTTGATTCTGGCATGTTAAAAAAACAAAACAAAACACAACAACAACAAAAAAATTTCTTGCCCTCCTTTTTAGTTCGGGGCCCTCTGTTTTGACTTTTGAATTCCACTGTAGACAAACGCTCACATGAGCACAAATTTATCCCTCACTGAATCAAAACCGCATATTTTTGGATTATGCGAAGAAGAGCAGAGTCCAAGTCTGAGAAGAAAGACGCCCCGAATTTTGAAGGCAAATGTCTCCCTCCCAACATTTATCTTAATTTCATGAAAGGCAAAAAGAAAGAGGAGAATAATTCACTTCTACAACATTCCTTGTCCTGTGAGGCGTTTTGAGACTGCTAAGGAATTTAGAAAAATAGCAGTCTGAGTTCACCAAATCCGAACTCCAAAGAGTTCCAGTCACAAGGGCAGAGGGCGGGGCTTGTGATGTTTGTTTGTTTGTTTTTTAACTAAGTGCAGAAATTGAAAAGAGTTTCATCTTTTAGTTGAATACTGATCAAAATGAAGGTTTGGTTCCAATCATCACACATAATGGGGCAGCCCATTATTCCACTCAGCAATTTTTTCACGCTTGTGTGCCAGTGTGCGATATAAGCGATTGCTAGTTATCTTCATATCGTCACCGGGAATTCCCCCGGAGTTTTATTTTGGAGGTTAAACGTGATGTCACTGGAGGGGTTTTGTTCGGGTCGATGATCTGGCGCCCTCCAGTTGACCCAACCAGACCCCCCTACGACTCCGCTATGTCGGGAAATCGTGATACTGAACTGGAGCTGCGTCCGTGAGATCCCAGATAACCGCGTTCCCAGGAAAAGGGGAGACGTTTTAAAGTGTAAGTCCACCGGGGGTTGGAATATTTGCAGCTCAATCTGATAACGCAGCCAATTTAGATTTTTGCATTTGTTTCATGGAGTTTTAAGTAACATGGCTTTCTTTTTTTTTTTTTTTCTTGGATCATTATGTTTGCTTTTGGCCTCTCAATGAAGACAAAGTGAGCAGAAAAGTCCCACGTCATTGGAAGAACATCTTCAAGTGGCCTAAGGGAACTCCCAAAACTTTCCCAAAGATGCTCTCTCTTTATACTCTGTTGATGAAGGCCATCGACTGTGGGAGGAAGAGGTGGCCAAAAAACCCCCCACAACAACAACAACAATGCGGACACAAAAGGAATTCTCATAAATATGCTAATATGATCCGAACGCCGCAGTGCACCATGCTGCTCCTCTTTCCCATAGTAATCCAGTAAAATTCACCTGCTGTGTGTATAAAAACAAACGCTTGAGAGACCCTAGAACAGAGCTTTGAGGGACACCTGTGTTCAGTTATTCAAACAAATTCATCAAAAAAAATTATGAAAATTTGTATCTTCAGACACCAAAATGTTCAGCCAAACTCTATAGTTTTGACTAACTGAAGTCAGCTACCTCAATGGTAACATATAATGATAAATAGCATAGATAAGCTAACAGTATTTAGCTTAGCATTCATGTTAAGCCCAGTATTGCCCAACTTTTGGTGGCACAGCGTTCTACTACGCTGTTGGTGGGCAACCTTAAATTGGGTCTTCTCTGTAAAACTCTACACCCTAATTTAAAAAAAAAAAAAAAAAGCTTCAAAATCTTCAATTCGGCGGCGGTTCACCACACGTGCCCCGTGCTTGACTGGCAACCAGTCCTCGGTATACCACCACTCTCTCTTGCCCAAGGTAAGTAAGTAATCTAACACGATGGAAATGTGTTTATTTTCTCCACACGTGTTTGCACTTTGACGCAGTTAAGAATGTGGCGTGCAGGAGGCAAGTTAGGATTAGGTTGATTGCTCAGGTCTGTTTCAGGTTAAGTTGACTAAAAAGATAACAAAATAATATCAGTTGTGTGTGTGTGTGTGTGTGTGTGTGTGTGTGTGTGTGTGTGGGTGTGTGTGTGTGTGTGTGTGTGTGTGTGTGTGTGTTGGGGGGGGGGGTCTCTCAAGGCACATGAAAGGAGCCTTCAGATCAGTACATAGCAGAACGCAAGGTACCCGGTTGGGAGGTTTCATTTTTCACTCTTTGATGTGCTGTCATTGTGGAGTATGTACTGGCTTTGTTATTTAAAGGTAGAGCAACACATGCTGGAAATCAGGCATGCTAACATTTCCTATGCCAATTTAGCGTCCGTAAGGTTGCGGGTGAGCTGCAGCCAATGCCAGCTAAATTTTGGTGCCTAATTTGTGACTGCCAGGAGCCGGGTTGGCTAGTTCGTCTGCATGTTTACGGGTGTGTGTTGGGTCCCATAGCAGCTCCTTGTGAGTGTTGTCATTTCATATTTGGCCATTTAAACGCCTGTCTCGTTCAATAAATGCGCCTGTGGCTCTCCTTACCCTTATGCCTGGGCATTACAATATTGTCCTTTTTTTTGTTTGTTTGTTTTGTCACTTTACCCCAAGTTTGAGCTTAATTTTTTAGGGGTCTTTTTTTTGTCCCAGAATTCGCCGAAAACTAAATTCTTCTTGAACTGCATGCAATTTGAGGATCCATGCAGCTGTTGTGACGCAACAGCATGTGTCACCCACCCATAACGGGAATCAAACAACAAAGAGCTCAAAAATGTGATGAGCTCACATATATGACCCTCTTTCACCTTGCTGCTGAATTCTGAAAAAGCATCACACGTGCTTGGATAATCAAGACTACTTTGTTGTTTTTTTCATAGCATTTAATAATATTGATTAATAGCGACACAATTAACTACATCAATAAATCGCAAAATATCCCATTGCCAAGATAATGCACAAATCTCGCTGCCTTTTGCAATTATCGCCGGTAGGTGGTGCTGTCAGCGCAAGAATCAACAGCTGGTAATGTGTTGTTAAGTTGAAAATTAATGTTAGCAGTATTGTTTTGTTTTCTGTGCTAATCTCTTCGTTCGTCATTTTGAATGATATATTAATATTATTTATTCCAATTGTATATGTGACCGAGAGAGAGAGAATGCAACTCGCTATTTGGAATTGGACGAATTGCGAATCCTCAAAGGGGGAAACTCCACTCATTTGAAAAAGGTTTTTTGATGCTGACTGTCATGCTAGCTTAGGATCCACGCGCCCTCAAACGCTACACTTCCTCTCTGATCGCGCCGGCGTTTGATATTGATTGATTGGTCTTTTAACATTTGCTTTCAAGCTTCCTGCAGGCACGGTTCCTCTTTTGCTTTGTTAAAGGAAAATCCCTTTGAGATGGCTTGCGCTGAATCCATGAATGCAAATAGACACCTCGTTATCCCCATCAGGTGACCGTGCGCTTTTATTTGTAAATCTTGATATATTTCTGTTTTGATTACTTCTTAGTTATAGATAAAATCGTATTATTATTTTAATCATGTCAATATTTTTGTTTGTCATTTTTGGGATTGTTTTTGATGACCTCCCATTTAATAAATGTCTCGTACTCTGCAATTAAGAAAAGAAAAAAGTAGTCAGGGCTAGTCAACGAGCAGCATGTGGCCCTCACACTCTTGAGTTGAGTTGCACCTCCATTATAAAGGTAAACGATTATTTGGGTGATTTAAAATAAAATATTGGATGACAAAAAAAAATAAATACAACCACCAAATTTCCCCACTGCATCTCAATTGGCGTATGTTGTTCATTTTTAAAGTGGCATTTTTTACTGGCTAGGATGTGCGAGGTCCTATGTGGGCACCCCAAGTACCGCTAATGGAAAAAAAAATAGTGCCCCCCACCCCTCCATCATTTAAGTTGCCCATCCCTGCCATAGAAAGATAGATTGATAGATGTACACAGAAAATTCTCATCCTCCCGGTCTCTTCCGGAAGGGTGCGTTTGATTCGTTGCCAGTGACATCAGCTGTGCCGTGAGTGAGCAAAAAAAAAAAAAAAAAGGAGGTGGGGGGGTGCAGGCAGCCGGGGCCACTCCTTGTCCTCACTCGTGCGCTGACTACAGCGCAAGCAGCATCGCAAGAAGGAAAAAAGAAGAAGGAGAGGACGAAGAGGAGGGAGGGGACCGCCAACTATGTCCGCCCTGTTGCAACAGAGCGCCGCGGCGGCCGACGCGATGCCGACGATGGAGCCGGCGACCATGACGCCCGGCCCGGCCGCGGGGGCTCCGGCGGCCTGCAGCCCCGCGCGTCACTTCGTCGACTCCAAATTCTACCTGCTGGTGGTCCTCGGCGAGGTGGTCGCGGAGGAGAACCTTAAGTGCGCCGTGGCCGACATCGAGAAGGGTAAGCCGGCGTGCGAGGGAAGAAACAGGGCGAGAGGGGGAGAGGGGTCGCGTTGCGTGGGGGGGGGGGGAACCATGACCCTCCCGATTGATCCATTTATTGGGATTATTAGTGGCATTCTTCAGCACTAAACTGATTGATCCCCCGTCCCGTGGGAGCATCCCTCCCCCGTTATCCTCCTCCTGCATCTAGCACTCTCATCCCACACCGGCCGGTAGGCGTGGCCCGGGCCGCACTGCGGTCCCTACGGGAAGCCACGAGGACCAGTTTGTAAAGCCGTTCCTTTTTTTTCCTTGTTGCTTAGTAAAATATAATTAGCAACAGGAAGCCTCTATGTTTGCTTTTATTATATTTTTACTTTTTTAAAAGATTTAAACACATTCTATTTTGCTGACACCATTATGTACGATGACATACAATATATCATCTTCATAATATTAACAAAGTAAGACCAAAAGTATTCGGACAGTGACGCTTGACTTTTTCCTCCTCTTCCTCATTATCATCATCACATTCGAGGGTGTCTTGGGGGAGGGCGGGGTTGATCAGTTGCCAATAGGTTCTTGCTGTCGTTTTTGTCATGTACGACAATCTTTATATGAAAGAAATTGAATATCCTACACATCTTGTAAGTCCAACAGAAGGATGGCATTGTTTTTTTCCGCAACATAAAATTATTAAGAGTGAGATATTGGGCCTTCAAGGATTTGGACGATAACACCTGCGTTTTTACATAGGCTAAACCATACAATTTGCATTTTCTTCATCATCATCATCATCATTTGGTCAGTGACAGTTACGTTTTCATGACAGTGAAATAAGATTAAAATTTATAGTCAGCATATCTCTATATTTAGGGGCCAAACCCACCAGTCAAGTTGCCAGTTAATTTGACCCAATTTCTATTAAAATAAAAAAAAATCTTATTTTACTAACCGTATTAATGTCCTATATTTGAAAACAAAAACATTGTGCGATTATATTTCTCGATGACTAAAACAGAGACATTAAGCAAACCAACAAGAAGAGGATTTGAAAATTCAGCCCATCTCTGGATGGATCTGACTTTGTGGCAATTTATTATTTCTCTTCAATCATTGTCCCCCTATGTGCATTTGGCTCTTGCATTGGCGTCAAAGCACATGTTGTGCCCCACCCCGATTGCTTTGTTTTGAGGAGAAATGCCTGATAGTGACCACGACAGAGGTTTCATTGTGTGAGCTGACGGAGCCGTGACTCAGCTCACTCTGATGTGATCAAGCTCATCCTGCCAACGTCATTTTCATCTTATGATCTCCCGCAGACCACTGTTACATCAAATGTCTTATTCGCGCATCATATTATAGCCATGGCATTTCATTGTGATTGTAAAGCTTTAAAAAAATTACATTAATTAACAAACCACTGCGGTTTCTTTGATTTTACTGAAAATGTTGAGCTCGCATAGGGAAGGGGTAAAAATTTACTGATATGTTGAATCGACTGGACTGTACTGTCCATAAAAGTTAAAAATATATATATTGGGAAACATTAAAAAAGTACTGCAGGGGTCCCCAATATTCATTTATGAATTTTCTCTATATTTTTTTTCAGGTATCCGCTCGTGGGACGCCAATCTGATGGACTGTAACCTGGACCAGGAGCTCAAGCTCTTTGTATCCCGACACTCGGCGCGATTCTCCGCTGATGTCAAAGGTAAAATATCCCTTTCATACTCTAGTGGCTTCTAAATAGTATTGTGGCTGTTACTCAACTGCAGAGGGTTCTGGCTGTCCACCAGGGGTTGGTTTGTATTCGAGGGAAGGCTTTTTATTTTTTTCAAAAATGATATTTATAGTCATAATATTGTCTTACTTGCAGCAAGTGACTTGGGGCAATTATTTACTCCACTGTTAAAAGTACTGGGTGTCTAAGTGTGTTTAAGTGTGTATTAGAGGGAAGGCCTTTATTTGTACAAATGTGTTCATACTATATATCGGTATTGATGTATTTCCTCAAAACAGCAGCGTAAAATAATCACATAAACGTTTCCCATTTCCAGTTGCAACTATAATCACCTCAGTTCGCAAGATTGAATCGTCTCCTGCGGCACACCTGATGTATTAGCATGCGGCGTTTATTCACCCAAGCCTAAGAGAAATTGGGCTGCAATGATCGAGCGGTGGCAACTATTTGAAGAACTGCGGCGGATCACGTGGCACAAATGAAAGTGGAGACGATGCGGCAGCACATCGAAATCCTTTCAGGAGGGTCAGGGAGATGATCAAACATGGCTGCCGTCCAAAATACGCTCCGAGGAACGGGCAAACCCCCTCCGCCTTGCGATTACATGCGAGATTTTCGACATCCATTCGACATCATTTAAACATTTTTTGGGGAGCTTTGATTTTCTTCCATGCCACGTCTTCCGCTTCGCAACAGCATAGCTTTGCTATAATCAAGTCTGATTAGCTTTATGTTAACACGCAATGCAAAAAGCCTCACCCTTTTGTCCTTTCCTCTCCTGGTGGCTAGCAACTCTCTTCTCTAGTGTGCCGCTGCTCTGCAACAAAGCAGCGAACTGCACAGCTAATTTCGGAACTGGTAATTAACAGTGTGACGTCTCCGGGTCGCAGACGATGCGGCGTTGATGTCCAGCTCGATGATGTTTTGCGCATTGAGTCAGGATAAAAGTATTGGGACAAGAGGCTCATGAAGCACCCCTGGAAAGAGGCTCATCAAGCTGCGTGTTTCTTCTGTTAGTTCTAAAAAAAGCAGCAGGTGTTTTTTGTTTTGTTTGGTTTTGAGGAGAAGGAAGGAAAATGAGAATTTTTTTGGGGTCATTTGTAATAGTATTTGAGTTAACTCATTCTTGTCATTATCTTAACTTTGGTTAAAGGAATCAATTAACGACCATCAAAGCTCACCTGTTTTCTGGGTTTGGTCATGTGACATTCGTAAGCTGAGCCCACTTGGCACTGTGATGTCATTTTCAGTGGACACCAAGAGTCAAAATGGCTGCCAACTGAGATGGATCAAAGTGGGCGGATTTTACTGCTTAATTCCTGTTCCACAAATGCAATATTAATCAAAATGCCACACTTTGACTAGTTGGGGGGCACATAGAACATATTATCAAGAAAATTTTAAAGCCCGTGGTGAGCGGTAGAGCTATTAGAAACAATATTTTGAAGACAGGTTTTTGCTCATTCCCTTTGTTGTCTACCTGAGGATTTGGTGGCACACCCTTTTATCGTCATTACACAAGCTGTTTTATTATTATTTTTTTTTTCTTAAAGCAAAAGGGGGGATGCTCATCTCTGCAGTTGTTCCACTGATCTATTTTTGGTCCAGTGCCTTCCAGATCAATTTCCTCCTGTGTGCTCGGTTGTGTGACAGTCTGCCTCCGCCAGGAAGCCAATGGGGCGGGACTGAGGTGGAGGGGTTGGGGGTGACGACTTTCGCTGGTTAATTGCAGGGGTCACGGCTGCTCCAACGCGTTGACACTTTGTCATGCGACGGCAGTGCTAACGCCAGCTGGTGGCTGACGCCCACTCCCATGAGACAAAGGGAGAGAAAATGAAAGATGTGGACTTTGTTGCCTGTTAGGATGCTGTCGCTTTAAGGATCAAGCATGTCATGGTGTGGGCTTGGGTGTGTCTGGCACACACACATGCATACATCACATGTGCGAGACGCTCACACATACACAGATCTTAACAAAAAAAGAAAATAAATTTATTCAGCATAATTTTAATTAATTATACCGTAATTCAATAACCGTAAAATCCCATGCAGAGTATGCATACCCCGCCCCCCCCAAAAAAAAGAATCAAAATTGTTGGGAGGAGGTGTAGTATTATTCACGTGTGTTATTCTGATACAAATGTCACCTTGTTTAGAGGTTTACCAGTGCAGCATATCGGATGATGAATTGAGAGCCCAAGGCAAATGTGACATTTTTGCATTTCGTTCCTTTTCGCAGGCCAGAGAATTCTTCATCACAAAAGTAACGTGCTGGAGACAGTGGTGCTCATCAACCCCTCAGACGACACTGTGAGCACCGAGGTAAACCTGAGCTATTATAGCGATATCCTGCCTTTTACACACCTGATTCCTCAACAGATTTATAAGGAAACATGGTGGGCACCCTCAGGAATTAGACTGACACATTATATCATTATTCTCATTAAGGCCTGCTGAAAGTTTCCAACAGTATACGTCGTATAATTCTCACCACCTTTCATTTTAGGTTCGATTGATGATCTCGGATTCTGCCAGACAAAAACTTCTGGTCCTGTCGGGCCAATGCACCGAAAGCACTGGCGAGCTCCTACTTCAGTCCGGATCATTTTCCTTCTCCAGATTCATCGACATCTTCACTGACCAAGAGGTCTGTTCACAGTTTCTCCCTTCTCCCAAATGTTTGAATACTTAAGGAAATTTTTAAAACATTTTATTGCCTTTAGATTGGTGAACTGCTGAGTACCATTCACCCGGAAAACAAAGCCAACCTGACGCTCTCCTGCCCTGATCAAGGAGACTGGAAGAATTCCAACCTGGACAAACACAACCTGCAAGACTTCATCAACATGAAGCTGAACTCAGCACTCATCCTCCCTGAAATGGAGGGACTCTCCGAGTTCACCGAGTATCTGTCCGAATCCATCGAAATCCTGACGCCTTTCGACATGCTGGAACCGCCGGCCTCTGGTGGTTTCCTTAAGCTCTCCAAGCCGTGTTGCTACATCTTCCCCGGCGGTCACGGCGACTCCGCTCTCTTCGCCGTCAATGGCTTCAACATGCTCATCAACGGCGGCTCCGACAGGAAGTCATGCTTCTGGAAGCTGGTGAGACACTTAGACCGCGTGGACTCCATCTTGCTGACCCACATCGGCGATGATAACTTGCCCGGCATCAATAGCATGCTGCGAAGAAAGATCGCGGAGCTGGAGGAGGAGCAGTCGCAGGGTTCAACGGCAAACAGCGACTGGGTGAAGAACATGATCTCGCCGGATATCGGCGTTGTATTTGTGAACCTTCCGGAAAATTTGGAAAGCCCTGAACCTAATTACAGAGTACGCAAGAATCTCGAGGAGGCGGCGGCCACTCAACAGTTCCTTGCAAAGCTGAACCTGAGAACTGAGCCACTGCAGCGGCCTGTTGGAAACACGATTGAACCCATCATACTTTTTCAGAAGATGGGCGTGGGGAAGCTCGAGATGTACGTTCTCAATCCGGCAAAGAACAGCAAAGAGATGCAACATTTTATGAAGCAGTGGACTGGAAATGAAAAGGATACCGCTTCTATCCTGCTGCCGAACGGGAAAGAGTCAGAGTTCCCCGTATCTTACTTGACATCTGTCAGCTCTCTCATCGTGTGGCACCCTGCGAACCCCTCAGAGAAAGTCGTGCGTGTTCTCTTTCCGGGAAATGCCACCCAGCAGCACATCTTTGAAGGTTTGGAAAAACTGAAGCACCTGGACTTTTTGAAGCATGCAGTTGTCACTCAAAAACCGATGCCTCTCGAAGTGCCGTCAACACCGACTCTGAAGCAAGCCAAGATGAAAAACAGAACGGACAGCAAAGAGAGCCTGAAGTCGAATCCAAAGTCTTCGCCAAGCAAAGGTGTCAGGAAAGAATCCAAGGAGGAGGCGGCGGAGAAAGCCAAGGCAGATTCAGACGAACTGTCTCGTGAAACACAAACAAAGGCAGAGAAAAAAGAAAAAACCCTGCTGAAGAAGGAACGAGCAAAGGCTCCAGAGAAAGAATCAAAGACAAACACAGACCAAACTTCCCAGAAAGAAACACCAGAAAAAAAGCCATCTCAGATCAAAGTGAAAACCGAAAAGGAGCGGATTGCCAAGAAAGACATTAAAATATCTGCGGAGAAGAAAAAGGTGGTTAAAAAAGAGGTCGCCAAAAAAGAGGACTTGCCTAAAAGAGAGATCAAGAAAGATGAAAGGGTGAAGAAAGAGGACGCAAAGAAAAGGGATGTAAAAAAGGACATCAGGAGAGATTCTCCTATCAAGGAGAAAAAGGATGAAAAGAGGGAACAGAAGAAGGATGTTAAAAAGCTGTCAAAAGACACCAAAAAGGTATTTTCCTCTGGAGATGACAAAAGCCTGTCTCCCAAACCAAAGACTCTGAAAAAAGATGTGTCAAAGAAAGATGCAGGCACACCCTCAAAACTGAAAGCCAAAGCAGGGTCAAAAGTGCCAAAGGTGGATGCAAAGGGCGATGCCGCCAAAAGTGCATCTGCTGCTGCGACTCTAATGATGGACCCAGATGCAGAAAGGGCTATTATGTCTTCCCCAGAAGACCTCACTAAGGACTTTGAAGACCTCAGAGCTGAAGATCTGGTGGAGGATGCGGCGGTTGTACAAGAAACTGTAGAAGAAGAGGCTACAATAATCACCCACTGTAAAGACCCGATGGAGACCAAAGAGTCCCCCGAAGCACCGGAGTCTGTCGATGAGGGAATCGCCACAACAGAGGCTGAAGGGGAAAATGGAGCGACTCCAGACGAACAAGCTCTCAAGGGTAAACTCAACGGCAACATGAGTGAAAAGTACGACGACGAGGGCACTGTGATGGAGGAAGTCTCCGACGGAGCCGATTACGAAGAGAAAGGGGAAACCGAAGAGGTTTATGAGTCACGGAGAGTGCTATCGAATCACAAAGAGTCCTGCGAAACTCTTGACGATCATGATCGCGCAGATGCTCAACACATGGGCGAAAGCAAAAGAGAGAAAACAGAATTGATTGTTTCAGCCTCACCCAAAGTGTCATCACCCGTTTCCCCCGCCGGATCCATCCACGATGAAATGTTTCCGGCCGGCGTTGAGAGCTCAACCGCCTCAGATGAAGCAGCCGAGGAATTTGCCGTCACCGCTGGCCTCATGCAGTCCACCCTTGAGATCTCCAGTGCGATGACTCTGACACCTAATGATGGGACCAACTCTCCGTCGCCGGAGTTTGGCAGATTAGGTATAACGGAATCTGGAGAGCGTGAGAAGAGCAAACTACCCTTACTTCAGACTAAACCTCGTTCCGACTACTCCGGGAGCGATGCAACCGAGGGCCAAGACTACAGCCACACAGCCTCGACAATATCTCCCCCGTCGTTATTAGAAGAGGATAAATTTCCTTGTGATGGGAAAGTAGCAGACTTTACCACACTTGAAGAATCATTTGAAAAGCAGGACACAGTCTCGGCAAGGCTGACTTCAACCGCACCCTTTGTGCAATATCCCTCAAGTAATCAAAAATATAACTTTGATTCATCGTCAATGTTTGGCACCCCAATTGAACTGTCCACTACCTTAGCAGGGTACACCAGAGCAATGGGTGATTCCACCCTCAGCCCAGAAGACAAGACATTGGAAGGAGCGAGCTCCCCCCAGTCATCAGGCCATACACCCTATTATCAGTCCCCAGTAGAAGAAAAAGCAGGAACTCTGCCACCCATGTCAGACAATGAAAACCAGGGTCCTATTATTGTGGAGGTCACAAGTGACAAAGAGGAGTCTTCGAACAGGGATACACCCGAGCCTGATGAGAAAGAGTGTTTGTCCTCTATGGATAAGTTTGCTTCCTCTCCAAAAACCCCACCTTCAACGGACCTGGACTCCCCTATCAAGAAGGAATTGGATGACATCAACAGATCAGTCTTTTCCTCAACTACACTTGTGAAACAAGAATCGGATGCTCATTCCATTGCGGCTTTCAAAGAAGAGAGTAAAATGTCCATTTCTGAAGGTAGCACATCAGACAAGTCAGGCACACCGCTGGAGGAAGTGGTAGCAGAGGATGTGTTTTCGCATTTAGCCTCAGCGTCCACTGCCTCGCTTGCTACCAGCTCTCTGCCCGAGCCCACCACCGACTCTCCTTCCCTCCACGCTGAGGTTGGCTCTCCTCACTCGACGGAAGTAGACGACTCTTTATCCGTTTCCGTAGGTCAGACCCCGACTACCTTCCATGAGGCAGAGGTGGCATCCCCATCCAAGGAAGACTGCCCTCGGCCCATGTCCATCTCCCCAGACATCTTACCAAAGACCAAATCCAGTTCACAGATCCATGACGCAAAGTCACCTGAACATTCTACCATGTCATTGGAATTTGGCCAGGAGTCTCCGGACCACTCCTTAGCCCTTGACTTCAGCAAGCAATCTCCTGAGCACCCATCTGCAGGAAGCAACTCGCGTGCCACAGAGAACGGCCCAACTGAGATTGACGACAGTCCTTCGCAGGTTGAGAGAGCATCGGAGGACCAGATGTCTTCAGCGGAGAAGCCTTTGCTTTTTGAAGACGCCGATTCAGCCCATGATGCTTCTGTCACCCCATCGGACGCATCCCAGTCCACTCCCTCCGCCACAACCCCATGCCAAATGACAGAGTTGCCCCTAATGGCTGAACAGACGGACGGGTCTCCGCTCACGCCAAAAGCAGTCTCTCTAACCCACTCTGCCCCCCATTCCCCCTATTCCAGTGAGGAATCCCCAGTTTCAGGAGGTCCCGTGGAAAGAGGCATCAGACCCATTTCACCGACTGCGGAGCACAAGTCTGCCGGACAAGAGAAACTTGACAAACCTTCTGAAATGACAACGGCAACCTCTCTTACCCACTCGCCCCCTCATTCCTGTCATTCTAGTGAGGCCTCCCCGGTTTCAGGAGGTCCACTGGAAAGAGACATCAGCCCAATTTCTCCGTCTGCGGAGCACAAGTGTGACGAACAAGAGAAACATGATAAACCCTCTGACACGACTTCCCTGTCATCATCTGCACTATGGTTTTCAGACAAAGGGAAACCTTTGCCAGAAAAGGAGACCAACCCGTTTATATGTGACGATTCAACAGTGAAATCTCCCGTGAGCCCCAAAGTCTCTTCCCCGTCACATCTACCTCTGTCCTCGCATGCATGTACTTATAACACAGCTTTCAGCTGCAGGGAGCCTGAACCTTCCAAGATCAGTCCATCCATTTCCAAGACAGAGGTCGACCTCTGTTTAGTACCTTCATGTGAATACCGTCATCCCAAGACGGAACTTTCACCTTCTTTCATCAACCCCAACCCTCTTGAATATTTCCTCAATGAAGAGAGAACTCTGGAGGAAGAGAAGCCTCTTGAGATGGTGGGGGGTGGGCCTCCGCCTTCAGGGGGTAAGCTTCCTGCCAAGCAATGTGAGGAGACTCCTCCCACATCTATCAGCGAATCTGCCCCCTCTCAGACCGATTCTGATGTTCCGCCGGGGACAGAGGAGTGCCCCTCGATTACGGCAGATGCTAACATTGATTCAGAGGACGACTCTGAGACTTTGCCCACCGATAGAACCCTCACCTACAGGCATGCCGATCCTCCTCCAGTAGCGCTCATGGACTCGGCTCCAACTGCGGGCCCCCATGATGTCTGCATGGTCGATCCAGAAGCCCTCAAGGCTGAGGAAAACCGCCACAATGCTAATACGGATGCCGCGGAAAAGCCCAAGAAGAAAAAGCTCACCAAAAAGGCCTCTTCGCCAGCTCGAAAAACTGGTCTGTCAAAAGTGAAGGACTCAAAGACCGCCTCTCCCAAGAAGAGTTTTGGAGAGGGGAAAGATGCCAAAAATGCAACCAATACGTCAGCATCTCGAAGTACCGGCGAGAAGGTGTCAAGTGTGGCATCTCTCCCAAACTGTCCTCCCATGTACATGGATTTGGTTTACATCCCCAATCACTGCAGTGCTAAAAATGTGGATTCCGAATTCTTCCAACGGGTGCGCTCCTCGTACTATGTGGTCAGTGGCAATGACCAGACGTCTGAAGAACCCAGTCGGGCTGTGCTCGATGCTCTGCTGGAAGGGAAAGCCCGGTGGGAGAACAATATGCAGGTATGTCACTTATGTGATCTGTATATATGTTTATACAGTACAACAGAAGTTCCCAAACTTATGTATCAGTAAATAAAAACAAGTCAATAAAAATAAAATTCATTACAATGAATGCAGTTGGGAGACCTGCACTTGTTTCTGTTCAACAAGCCGGTTCTATCATGAGGTTCCGGGAGACGTTGACACCCAAAAGGTTGTACGAATGTCCAATCTACGCTATAGTTTTATTCTGATTGCTGACTTTGCAGAGAATCCCACTTCACAAAGACAGGATGTCGGAAATGAACGTTAGGTGTTTGGTAGGGTTTTTTTAAGGCTGATTTAAACGCTTCATTGCCTCACTTGTGAGCCTGTCATCACATATTAGGCAGAACAAGCTTGTTCTCTATTTCTTTTAAGTTATAGGCTCTTCTTCTTTTTGTCTTATCATTTGGCTTCTCCCCTTTTGAAGAAGCTCTCCAAAGACATTTGTTTGATGGTATCAGCCCTAAACGGTCCATTCCCTCTTTCTCCCGCCCATCAGGTCACGCTGATACCGACCCATGACACGGATGTGATGAGGGAGTGGTACCAGGAGAGCCACGATAAGCAACAGGAGCTGAACATCATGGTCCTGGCCAGCAGCAGCACGGTGGTCATGCAGGACGAGTCCTTTCCAGCATGTAAGATAGAAATGTAGGACGAGGTCATTCATGAGCGAACGTAACTGAGCGATGTCACCTGAAAACAGTCACTCCTACTTTCACACACGTGAAATTAACTTCCACTGCACTTCTGAATATCAACCCACGACTTTTCCAAGGAACTGCTGGTAAAACATGAAAAAATACGTCATTGGTTTTGACTCCGTTCACCCACCTTTCCAGTTCAACACATTGTGTTTTAATCTTGCCGGATGGATAAAGAAACAACAGATCTTTGCCTTACTGGGATGTTGAGTAATGAATGTATCCGACAAACAGAACGCTAATGGACAAAACATCCTCAAATGGTCACACAGTTGGTAACACGAAGGCCACAGCCCTGTGCTTAGGGATTGTAAAATATTTATGAATAGCTCTGTGCATGAATTAGCCTTAGCTTTGTACTTAAATGAGTTTTTTTTTTCCTTAACCCTTGGGGCGAGTGAGCTTGATAAATGATAGTTGAGCGAATTGTGATGTTGGGCGCAGATTTGCCGCTGAATGACCTTTCACATAGCCACACTTCCAAAATGCAGACCGACCAATCACTTAATGCTATGCTGTCATCTCTGTCGTCATTTGAATCCCTCAAAAGTCAGCTTTGTTTGCACCGATCTAATAATGCACTTGTATTATTCGAGCAAGAATGCTACGGCATTGTTAGCTCGTTAACCAAAATGCTAGGCTACTAATCTGCGGCTTGGTTACCATGCATGGCACTCGCAAAATTGGTGCAACTCAGCTAATGAGTTTAGCTACTTTGCTCATTTACCAAAACACAATGTCTGGTTAGTTAGGCTTCCCCTGAAACAAGCTTAGCAACGTTAATAGAATTGTTTTTTGCTTGTTAACCAAAATGCTACACTGCTAACACAGGACTTGGTTACGATGCGACATGAGCTCAGATGAGCTACGCTAGTAGAGCTAGCTACTTTGACTTCTAACCCAAAAAATGCTACACCTATATTACTCAGAGAAGGACTAGTTCTGATCCGTGATGTGAGCGAGATTTGCTGGCTAAGCTAACAGGCTACCTTTAGCATAATGCCCGCCATCCAAACATTGGCTAGTACACTTTGGATTTGGTGACGGTACCTTTTTAGTGGAAGTTCAATTAACAAGGAATTTTTTTTTTTTTGAGACATGCCAGCAATTAGCACCTAGATGCTAAATTATTTAGCCTCAACGTAGCCAGCATCCCTGTGAATGAGAGCGAATTATGTTATGCAACACCAAAAAACGGACACAAAAGGTGAACCGCTGTACAGTGAACCTCTGTTTACCGTGGTTGACCCACCACCTTCCAGATCCACTCATGATTGGTAAAAATTCAGCACCATGGAGACCGTATAAAAACATTTTCTTATATCTTATTCTCCCACATTTTAAAGACACTAACTTATTAACCCATACCATTAATAAGAGAAAGAGGATACTTGCTCGTTTACTGTATTGGAATTTTTTTTTTAAACCCACACATTTTTTTTCTCAATTTTTCTTTTCTCATTTTTTTTCTTTCTCACTTCCAGATTTTCACAATTTACAGACAGGCTTAGCGCCCTATCACCCGCAAATAGTGGTAGGCCACTGTTTATTTAAACACCATACCAGATTATTACAAAGGTCTGCTAGCATAAAGCTCACATGTAAGGTGAAATACCATAGCGAGGCAAACAGTTATTAGCATAGTTGTTCCTGTAACTATTAACTTTCAAAACAACTGCTACTTTAACATATACAGAGCGACAACACACACAAACAGAGCATACATACAACAACACTCACGCTTGTGGGACTATTACTAGATCTTCTCTGCCTCTGTCTCTTCTTCTTCTTCTTGTAAATTATGCTACATTTCTTCCAGTAGAGCTCAGTGCTGCCTGCCATGTTGTTTCACAATGTGGTGTAACCTAAATTCGGACTTGTCCGTACTGTAAAAAAAAAATAACTAAGCGTGATTTGGTGGAGTTTTACTGTACTGGACTATTAGCAACCGCTGGGCTATTGTAACTCACCTGATATGTCTTAAATGTCAGTGCTTGATTGCAACTAAAGACCAACTTTGAATGACAATACAGCCAGCTTTCTCTTCTTCTCCTTCTACTCTGTCGAATTATCTACCTTTTTCCTCCCGTCAACAATGTTAATCTGTGTCTTGTGCTCTCAACATCACCCTCGCACCTTCTTCTACAAACTCATACTGTACGTGAGCTCTGGCCATTTGTTTCAAGTGAAAGTAGTTGTGCGCGCTTTCTGACTGTTTGTGTGCCATGTGTAACACAAGAGCAACCACCAATGCTGAATGATTCCAAATGCAAAACACAAAAATAAAAGGAAGTATGTTGATGAAAACACAAACGAGTGTTCCCTTTTGTCTTTTTCAAGGAACTTTTGTCATCATTTTTTCCAATTATACTAATGAGAAAGCAAACTTGTTCAGGAGAGCAAAGATGTGCTTTATTATATGAATCCAAAGCTCTTTCTGTAGGCATAAGAAGCAGGACTAAAGAGGATTTGACAATCAATAATCAGCAAAAACTAGGCTGAACTTGAAATACTTCCCGTTTCCCCTCTTCTTCTTTCCATATACACAGTGTCAAACACAATAGTGTACTGCCTTCTAAAGGCTGACAGCAGAATTACGCCTCCAAAATAATCAGGAGGAAGAAAAAAAAAGGTTTTGGCACATTAAAGCATATCATTTGATCCTTTCTCAGCCGTTCTATGTTAAATGTGCGCTTCACAGTCTGATGAATGGCAGCTTTGTCTCTCTGGGACCCTTCAGGCGCTTTCCACAACCAGAGCCAAAGTCAAATTCACGGCGGGAGAAAATCAAAGGAAAAATGTAACAAGCCAACATGTGGCTGCTTGTCGCAGGGAAATCAAAAGCGTGTAAATGGGAATTATCTTGTTGTGATGATGAGCAGATTGGCAAACATACCCACACTCAAGTACAGCTACTTGCATGTAAAAAAAAAACAAAAAAAACGAGCCAATGAATAGATGTAGGTCACTGTTAGAACCAGTATATGTAGATAGACACCATGACAATACTCAGAGGCATCGACATATTTTCTTTTTTAATCAATGACAAAGAATAACTAATACACCCCCATGTAAGTCTATTTTTGCATTATACTGCCCCGTAGAAGGCCAATGAACACCAGAAGGAGCAGCATTATGCCCATAGAATTGACCATGAATTCACTTTGCCTGCTCAGAGCAAAATAAAACTAAAACGTAGCCAGAAAAATGCACTTACTAACCAAGTATTGCCACCATTGATGATGAGCAATGCAAAGAGTGCATCAGTTTTCCATGATGTTGTATGCAAGAGAGAAGCTGTGACCATGCACGCACATTGCAGGAAGCCATCAATTATCCAACGAGGCCTGCGTCCGATTGGCTGAGCAAGCAATCTCAGGCAGCGCGGCCTGAGGTCTTGTTGCTCAGGGCGACAACAGGGAGCATCACTTTGCTCTGTTTTGCTTCCGCTCTATGTAACAGTATATTATGGTGTGCACTTGAAGGTACTCTGCAATACGCTTTTTTTTTTAAACTGTCAATAGTTGTAAATCGGGTTTACGTGGAAAAATAATGCGTATCATGGTCGTGGAAAAGTAAAAACACTTGACTTGATATAGTTTCAGTAAGCTGAGTACATCCTTATTCTATATATAAAAAGGGGCGTTCATAATCTATTGAAGAGTACATGGGTATGCATCAGCAAAAAAAAAAAAAAAAAAAAAAAAAAGCAACAGCACCACCAGCTGGTTGATTCTTTTTTGTGCATGTTCTTCGTGAAAGACAAGACAAAATGAATTGGAATTAAAAAGAAAATACAATGTAAAAAGTGTTAATTTTCACAGCCTGCCCAAGTGTCCATTTCAGCTAAATACATCTTTATTTTATTGTTGATTTTGTCATGTATTTGTGTGCTTTTTGATTAATCTTTTCTGCTCCCTTTACAAAACTTTACTTTTGTAAAAGAAATTATATTGTGGCCATTTTTATGTTCAGAGCGGAGGTTTATGATAATTATCAAAAATTACATGAGTAATTGCAAATTTTACGTGATAACTTTCTCTTTTTTTTTGTCCTGGTATGGCAGCAATCAGCTTCCGTAGTTTAGTTCCGTAGAGAAAAAAAGACTGGTTCGGACGCCGCCATGTTGGAATGTACCACATTCCTATCACGTATAAACAAACGCAAAATACAATATTCACACAAAAGCAACACATATATTGCATATAGTTGTGTTTATAAGTGTTAAAATTACAATGAATGCGACGTAATGAAAAATTACGTAGGTTAACGCTGTGTGGTTGTCATTCATGTCCCCTTTGTTTACGCGGGGTTGGTACAGTTTTTGACCTAATGGCGCTGCGGAGCCTTGCGTCTATATGTTGTCGTTCGTTTCGACGCGACCACATTTCTACAAGACTGACACTTTCTGCTTTGCAACAGCCAGGCTGGATTGGATCACGTTTAGGAGGTAAATTCTAAACGCTTGCTGTCTTGTTTGTCGACAACTTGGAGTAATTCGTCCATCAGTACTCTGGTGGATTTTGTGTGCAGAGGTGACTGCCTGCACGCATGCATTAATTCCTTTGCTTTCGCTTAAAATAATTTTATGTATCAAATCTGCAGCTAAAAGGCATTTGCTGTCAGAGGATGTCGTCAAACTTGAAGACTTCCAGCGAAGGAAGCTGGCAGTCGCGCACCTCATCACCGGATCAGAAGGTAACGTATAGTGGATATGTCCAATATAATTTAGTTTTATTAAGAAAAAAAAAAGATTGTCAGCTTATCCCCATTCTGTGCTTTTTGTCAAATAGTTGGAGGCAACCGCACAACTAAAACTACTTAAATAACTATTCAGTCAAAATTTATCGCACATCAACCTTTAAACTTGTACTACAATATTGTATAAGAGCAAACGGTTCTGAAAGGTTAAATGCAAACATGTACTTAAAAAAAGTGAGATACAATTGAACTGTGCATGAAAATGAATTCCAAAAAGTACTGCTCAGATTTTTTTAATGCAAATTTGATGTATCAGTATTTAATTTAATGCATCTTTTGCGTACCTTGACAGGAATCACCACTCTATCGAAATAGGTTGCGTTTACCCTTTTTTTCCCCCCATATTGGCAGGAAATTTTATTGAGCTCTTTGGCCACAAACTGCAGAGGAACAACCTGGTTCTGCGAGACGAGCTCAAGCTGCTGCTTCACTTGTGTCAGTCTACTGAGGACATGAAGACCGCCCGAGATGCCATTTATCGGTATGTTCCGGTATGGTACATTTAACACCATATTCCACAGCACTCCCCATGAATTCACACCATCACCTGCCACCAGGTACCATGCAGAAAACAGGAACGTAGCGCATGGGGAGTTCAAATTTGGCCCAGTCTTCATGAGACTGTGCTATGAATTGGGACTGGAGAAGATGGCCGCCGCTACGCTTACCGATCAGGTGCACATCATAGGTGGCAAAAGTACTTGCATGATGTTCTAAAGTAGAAGCACAGATACTTGTCTCAAAAAAGTTTCAGGTAAAAGTAGATGAATAGTACAGTATAGGGTTAAATCGAATGCACGAAGTTGGCTGGGAAAGGCTTCAGCATGTATGGCTCTCCTGGTGTGTGTACATGTGCCACTAGGGGGCAGCACTTATAAATACAGTTTTTGTTTCGAGGTCCTCTTCCCCAAGTATTTGTTTTTTTAAAATAAACACAAGCAATAAATTAAACAGCTTTACAGTGAAAATTGTGAGTTTTAGTAGACATAAATGTTTTGGATTTATGGGTTCGATTTATGATAAAATAAAGACACATGCCACATGACTTAATTTGAAAGACATTTTATTTATTGACTTCAATTAGAGTTGTTAACTTACTAAAGACTTTGACTTGGAGTCGTTTAAGCGATAACGACAACAGCGTCACAAAATTCCACCAAACAAGTGTGCCGTCAACATAAGTCATTACATCATCAATCAGATTCTAACAGCAACGCAAATAAATCTGTGGCTAAACCCACCTCAACTTTTCATGTCTATTTTGAATTTGATTCATTGTTCAGCCCTAGTACAGAAAACAAAATTGTTTCCACAGTTACTTTCCACCGCTGGTGCACATTTGCATCATCAAGGCTGTATTCTGTGTTTGTGCCATTGATCTTTTGTCATCCTGGACAGGAAATGAGAGGCTTTTTTGGCGACCCCACCTCCTTCAACATTGCCATTGACATGTTATTTGTTAAGGGCTATCATGAAGGTAAGTAAATAATTGCGCACGAGCTGTCTGCCTATTTACTGTTGTGTTTCAAAATGACAAATGACAGTTGCAGATGCTCTCGAAGTGTTGCGGTCCATGAGGAGCCAAAGTGTGCCTTTCAACAAAGACACATTGATGCTGGCATCTGCTGTCTGCTATAAACTGGTAACTGAAAACACATCGTTGTTTATGTTGCGTTTAAAAAAAAAAAAGAAAAAAAAACTTCAGTTACAGCCAGTAGGAGGAAAATGTTTTCAGCGCGTGGCTAATGTTACTGGGTCATGCACTTGTGACCTTTCCCCGATTTAATCCACCTTTCAACGCTATCATGACACAATAATAGTAACCATCAGCCTGACAAAAATAAAAATCACTTGAAGCACTTCACAATCAATATTCATTAACATAAAAAAAAAGTGCAAATAAAATAAGTTATCATCACCAGAGATGCTGCTTATTCAATGTTATCACGTGTGCATGCTTGCCAAAGTTGCCTATAACACGTTTTGCTCTGACCGATCAGATGGTGGAAAATTGCTGATGTCATAATTTGATTGGTTGCAGAAAGTGCTGTTGTTAATCCAGATAAAGTGACATAGCCCAACGACAACGAACGCCTCCTTCAAAGCGACACTGCCCGTCGTAAATTTAAAGCGTTTAACCACTGTGCTAACCAGAACAGCGGCACTTAACAAAGCATGTAAAGAGGTTTTGCGGAAAGAAAATGGGAAAGGTCAACTTTACAGATGGCACTGTTTTTATGATTTGTGTGAACTTGTGTGCTGTTCTGTTTTTATTTATTTATTTTTTAATCTTTGATTTTGGGCATCAGAACACAACAGAGTCGCACGCGATCTGCACGTCCCTCATCGAGGAGGCTCAAGCCAAAGGGTATTTTGTCCCCAGGCACGCTTACTGCTTCGCTGTGGCATTAGCCCTCAAACAGGTGAGTTTGTGCTGAAAAATGCGGGTGACAGAGGATACCCTCCACACACAGTCGGTTAAAATACAGGATCAAAAGACACCATATAATTGGTATTCCACCCCATATTTTCTCCCTGTGGGAACAATGACTATGATTGCAGCTTAGTTGGGGTCCCTCTCTGCCTCTTGATGTTGTTCATTGCCATGTGGCATCTTTTCCAGTAGCTCTCAGAGCTGCCAAGCATGTTGTGCCGCAACCTGGTACTACACTCAAGCACGCAATCCGAAATTAGGATTTGCCTGTGTATTGTAAAAACTCCCAAAAAAGATCGCTACAAAATCCGCACAAGCGATGAACCACAATCAAGCAGAGTTTCACTGTATCACGCGTGAAAGCACTTTTGTTTTGCTCCTCAGAATGACCTTGAAAAGGCACAACTGCTGTTTTCACAAATCATGAGCACAGACAGCCGACTGTGCCAAAACATGAAGGTGAGCCTGCAACAAAATAACTTGGTGCAAGT